TGCCTATTTCCCGAACCTATAATGAAAAAGGCAAGCCAGATAATGCAGGTAATGTGGGCAGCCTCCCTTTGCTGTCTTACATTATTATTGCCGATTGCTTGCCTCCATTTCCCCTGTACTCTAACAATGAATATATTTCACAGCTCACTTGCTTTGCTGTGTGGGTGGCATGGCATAGACACCTACATGATATGAAAGAAAATCTAAAACAATAGGGGCTGTGTGTGTGTGTGTGTTGCTGTGAATGCCTCCTAACAGGCAGCTGTTGATAGAAAAGGCAATTTTGAGACTCACTGGTACACAGATAGGGTCCATGATGCTTAAACTAGACTTCGTTATTTAAAAAATTACAGCAGAAGCAGCAGCAGCAGCAGCAGCAACCATCACTTCCCAACTTCCCCGTCCGCCAGTCATAAATCTAAAGCAGAACGAACATACCAACCATGCCTTGTATGCAAAGGAGCTTGAAGCCTCCAAGGCCCCCTTCCCTCCCTTTTTTACGTAAAGAACCCCAGTTTGCCCCATTTACAAAGGACGCTCGCAGCTCCCAGGGGACCATCAGCCAGGTTCGCTGGGCCCATTCACTCTATGCTGAGTTGCCATATCTGACACAGTGCTTCATCTAATTATGTGTTTTATTTGTACCCCACCTTTCCACCAAAAGTGGTGCTCAAGGCACCTTACAGAACCAATTAAAATGGACTTAGTATATTAATATGCACTAAAACACAGCAATGATAGGAGAAGACATTATTAAAAGCAACAGTTAATCCACCAGATTCAGTTACAGGAAAAGGCCTTTTAAAATAGAGTGGTATTTGTCTACCAGTCAAGAGCAAGTCAAGAGCAAACTGAGCCTGCCTTCAAGGGGAGCTCCATAGCCTGGCAGTGGTTCCCCCCAAACCCAACCTTTGACTGCAACCACGTATGCCTTTGGAGGTGAGGGGCGGGGGAGGGAACCTTTCCAGATAATCTTAGGAACTTGTTGGCTTGAGTGGGAAATGGTGGTCTTTCAAGCAGTCTGGCTCCAACCTGCATAAATGAATCAGAGGATTGCATAATAAACAGCATGTTCTCAATACTGTTCTCAGTAACATTACAGAAGAAGAGTGAACATGATTTGTCAATTGGGGGGTGGCGGTGGGCTGGCTGTTGCTCCAGTCTAAGACTGATGGCCAATTTTCAGCTTCCAGCTGAGGAACGCTGCACAGATATACAACCAGTTATGCAACATCCTTCACGTAACTCTCCTTACTTGAACAGTTTCTTCACCACCCCTATTTTTCCAAACCCCGTAAAGAGACTACGGGAATAAAGGCTAACCTTTAAAAAAAACCCAAAATAAAATAGTTCTAACACCTTTGTCGAAAAGCAGAACAGAACAAAATAGTCCTCTAACAATTAGTTCTAGCATTTTAAACTTCAAGATGCCCCAAGAAAAATGACCCATGTCTACATTTCTTTGGTAGTTTCATAGCAGAGAGGAAAAGAAAAAACCGGTAGTCGAAGAGATATCTCCCCACAGCCTAATCTGTTGCCTCTGCAGGGCAACCTCGATTACTCTATTATTCCCTGGCACCATCTATTTAACATATTGCATTTTGCTCAAATTTGCATTTGAACCTCCTCCTCCTCATCATCACTGAATATATCCTCTGCATTGCTAGATGTCCTTATTTCTGATCCAGTAGGGTCCTTTTATGTTCTCCTGAATGCCAAGGAAAATGAAAGCGGAGTAGGAGCACTACAGTTGCTGCTGGGTGATGAGTTCTTGTGGGCCGACCTGGCAGGGCCTGGAGAAAGGCCAGTGGCCAAATCACTTGTTTCCTTGGTACGGTCACAGACCACTGTTTCCAACTTGTATCATCCTGCTGTTGGAGGCCAGCCTTCAAATGCAACTGGCATCCCTACAGAACTTTTGTTGTCCTTCCTATGGAGCAGAAAGAGAGGAAACTAGGTAAAGAGCTCTTGTTTTTTTCAGATTTTGGAAATACGAGGAAGGCTTAGTACCCTCTACCTCACACCCCACACCTGCCAGGAAGGAATACTTGGGCTTCCTGTACAATCCAGCTGAAGCTGAATTGTGTGCCAAGGTCAGGTTGTCTAAATTACCAAGCTGGATTCAGATTTAGTTATACCCAGAGTAAAACCCTTAAAATCAATGGAATGTATCAATGAACTCAAGTCATCACTAAGTTAAGTCCCATCAGTTTCAATAGATTTGTTTTGACTTTATTATTGCTATAACCCATGGTTAGTGAATTGTTCATAAGTGACAGAATGGGGAGAATCTGGGGCAAGATGTTCTCCATGGTGGCCACTTCCTTCCTGCTGTGACCATCCCTAATTTGCTTGTACTCTGGACCCAAGACATGCTACTGGCCAGAAATTTGGGCCTTAACTGGCAATTTGTGAAGGTTTTCACAATGTATGTACACTTTCACAAGTTTTGTGTAAATTTGACATAAACTGTGGGTGAATTCAAGGCTGCCAAAGTGGTATATGTCCCAATGCAGTGAGAGGAGAAAGCTGCCATGCTCCCCATGCTGAATGTTATGGCAGCAACAACAAAAACAAAAACAGCTACTAAAACCATAGAATTGTAGAACAGCGGAGTTGGAAGGGGCCAATAAGGCAGGGGTTCCATTGCCGTGCTGCTCTAACAGTCAAGAAGTTCTTCTTGATCTACAGATGGAACCTGGCTTTCCCTCAACTAGTCAACCATTACTTCTGCAGTTTGTGCAAATGTATGCCGAGTGAGAGATTTGCATTTCTCAGGTCCAATTTTGTGCAAATATTTTAAGCTGCTTCACAGAAGATGACCCTCCCATGAAAAAAAAGAAAGTTCAGGCCAGAAATGTGTAAATCATTCATCCAATTCAAATGGAAGGAGCTATTCTTCCTCGG